ATACATTTATATATATATATACATATATATATATATATATATATATATATATATATTATATATATATATATATATACATATATATATATATATATATACTATATATATATTATATATATAATATACTATATATATATATATATACTATATATATATACATATATATATATAATATATATATATATATATATATATATATATATATATATATATAATATATTATATATATATATATATATATATATATATATATATACTATATATATATATATATATATATATATATATATATATATATATATATTATATAATATATAATAATATACTATATATATATATATAATATATATATATATAATATATATATATGTATATATATATATATATATATATATAATATATATATATATATATACATATATAATATATATATATATATATATATATATATATATTACTATATATATATATTTTTTCTATCATCATTTATCATTCCAATTGTCTCATGAACAGTCCGACAAAGCACAACGGAAAAAGAAATATATCCACATGATCTTCCAGAACAGAAAACTTTATTTCTTTCATTTATTTATTCATTTATTTATGTAAGTCATTTACTCATCTGAATTAAACGCTAATTCCCAATCGAATCGGGCCGCGTTAAGCATCTCATCTCCTCATCTCCGTTTCGGCCAGACTCGCTTTCCCTCTTAAGGCGGGAGGGGCGGGGAGAGGCACGCCCAAAACAGACCGTTTAATCCACAGGAACTTTGCTTGAAGTGGCGAAGGGGAGAGAAAGAGATAGAGTGGGGGGAGGAGGAGGGAGAGGGAGGGGAGGGAAGGGAGGGAGGGGAGGGAGGGGAGGGGGGAGGGAGGAGAGGGAGGGAGAGGAGAGGGAGGAGAGGAGGAGAGGAGGAGAGGGAGGAGGGAGGAGGGAGGAGGGAGGAGGGAGGGAGAGGGAGGGAGGGAGGGAGGGAGGGAGAGAGAGAGAGGAGAGGAGAAGAGAGAGAGAGAGAGAGAGAGAGAGAGAGAGAGAGAGAGAGAGAGAGAGAGAGAGAGAGAGAGAGAGAGAGAGAGAGAGAGAGAGAGAGAGAGAGAGAGAGAGAGAGAGAGAGAGAGAGAGAAGAGAGAGAGAGAGAGAGAGAGAGAGAGAGAGGGGGGGGGGAGGGGGGAAAGAACGATTTAAGAGGGAGAGGAAAACGATAGATAGATAAATAGATAAGCAGGTGTTACCAAATTTCATACTACGAAGCGGAAACAGAGCAACAAGATATTTGCGCATGTCAGTAAGATGTCTCGATATTGAGTGTGTTTAAGTGTGTGTGTGTGTGTGTGTGTGTGTGTGTGTGTGTGTATGTATGTATGTGTGTGTGTGTGTGTGCGTTTTGTGCATGTGTCATATTCTGTTTGTTTTTACGTTTGTCTTATGTAGGTGTAGGTATTTATTTGGTCTTGTGTCGTGTTATTGAGTTTATCCATGGATTGTGTTTGTGCGTTCTATGTGTATGTATGTGGTCGGTTAGTTTGTGTGCGTATGTATTTTTTGATTGTATACTCGTCACCAGAAACGCCGAAAATAATCAAGAATGTCGTCGAGATAAATGTTTAATCTACATCGGGAACCTGATACCCTTTTAACGCCCTTGATTAAGAGATTAAGGACACCCACATCGGAGGAGATGGTCAGGATTTGTCCACAGCTGCTGCCCGTTTATATAATGCACACGGTTCTTCCTTTAATAAACTCCGTGCTTTCCAAAGATAAAAAGGGATAAGTCAAATACTTTAACGTTGCAGTGCTGAGTTTCCCTCACCAGTTCAACTCCGTATATGCACTGCTTCCACTCCACTTTGCAAACCTACCCCGTCCCCACTCCATGTTCATATGCTTTAGTGAATGCAGCATCCTCACTTCTTCCCCTCCCCCTCCCCCTCCTTCCTCTCACCTTGTTCATACACCTCGCCAAGTGGAGTCTCCCCTTCCTCCCCTCCTGCACTCCTCCCCTCCCTCTCTCTCGCTATACCTCCCTCCTCCCCTCCCCGCTGCATTCATAAACAACACCACTTCACTGACTTCCCTCCCTCCCTCCCTACCCTTTACACTTAGGGTGTATTTACCTTCAACTTTCCGGAGCCTTCTCTTTCTCTTCCCCTCCGTCTGCTCCTCAACCCTAACTCTTATCCTGTTTTCGCTCTTCGCCCTTCGTTCGCTATCCGTTCTCGTCTTTATTTTCTCTTTCCCTCTTCCTTCCTTAGTTATTTGCACTTCGCTCTTCGTGTCCCCTCTTTCGTCTTTATCTCGCGCGTTGGAAAGGTCAAGCGAGGGATAATAAGAGAAATGGAGGTGAGATAAATAGGTTTATTAAAAACATAAACAACATGTTAAATGATTTAGGAATAGCATACCTCTTGGTAAGTGTGGGACGCGCATGAGAACCGGGCGAGCTGGTTCTACTCTCGGTCCCGGAATAACGCATGAACCTTCATCTGGGAGTTTGGT